CGGACTGGCAGGGCTGCCGAAGCATGGGCACGAGGGGAACCAAACAGGGCCACAGGTGCCGAGAGAAACCAGAACTCATTTTCAGCATCTGTTACGAAGGGGCAAGCATCCCCTGCGAGATCTCCCATTGCTCACACCCTCAGCTAAAGCGGTTTTTTTAACTGGGAGGAAGAAGGCACAACACACCGGCATCCTCCTCTGAGTGCCCAAGGGAAACATCTTGTTCCAGCTCTGCTGCCTTCCGTCCTTCCTCTCCCTGGAGGGATTCACTCCCCAGGACAGGGCTTGCCCACAGCAGAAGCACACACAAGCCATGCAAGAGAGAAAGAGAGCAGATACCGTACCAAAGGGCAGGGCACGCTCGCCCCGGCCAGGCCTGGCAAACCTGGGTCCCCTTTGCTGCCCGCAAGGCTGCGGTCGCCCTGTTTGAGAAAATAACTGCTTGTTGAGAACGATAAAGGACACGGGAGTTACTCAGACAGGATGGGTCCAGAAGTTTACAGCCCCATTTTTGATGACGCAGCAAGTCAGCGGAGTTGTTTTGTGGCGGGGAATTCACAGAGACGTAGAGTCTGTCATCTGGGAAAGATCTTCTAGACACAAGCCAGAGATTCACGTTTGTAACAGCACAGTGGAAAAGATGAAGGTTAAATCATCCCGCATGTTGAAGGAGGAAAGGTGATCCAACAGAAATGAAATAATTAATTGTAGTTCACTTTCCATCTCCAAGCAACATAAAGCATATTGACTGAGGGAGCTTTTCGCTGGCACAGCAGAGCTACACAACAGCTCTGGTTGCCATAGCTGCGCCGGCGGGGTGAGAAACGGTCACACGTTTCGAAAAGAAATGGATTTTTTGGAGCATGTTGGAGCAGGTACCTGGCACTGGTTGTTAGGTGCCTCTGAACGAAGGTCTAACAGCTACCTTTAAGTAGTTTCAGTTCAAGAGTTTACACAAATCACTTTTCATCCTGCAGCCTTGAAGCATTTTAGGGAAAATCTCTCTCTGGTTTTAGTCATACGAAAAATAGCATTGAAAAGGAGGTAAATGTTACCAGGCTAGGTATCTTCTAGAAAACGTTCTAGATTTTTTTTCTGGGCCCTATCAAAGGAATGAGAAGTTCTGGAAGCGGACTCGGGATATCCGCCTTCCCCAGCTCAAGCACCCAGGAGGTTCCTGGAAAGCCTGGTCGTGTTCACGGGCCGTGTCCGAGAAGGGACCGCTCGGAGCCGTGAGCTGCTGCCCCAGGCTGGGGAGCACGGGGAGGTCTCCTCTCCCAGAGGCACCTCTGGGCAGCTCGGGCTCATACATCCCCTGCCCCTGGCAGCACTGCGCTGCTGTCGGCTCCGACCCGCTTCCCCCCGCGGGAGAGCTGGAGCCAGGCTCATCCCTCGCCCCGTTCGCGGGGATGAAGGGATGGAGCTGACCTGGTTTTCCAGTCGCCTCCCATCCACTGTGCTGAGTGACTCCCCGATTTCAAACGTACTCAGAAGCCAGGCCGGCAGCCTCACCAGGGAACGCGATCTCCCGAAGAGCGTTACTGACGCCCATTGTTCCCGACCACAGTAAGAAGGTCTTCACACAACGATTCTTTATTTTTACTGCTGTGGCTCGCTCCCATCTGGCCAGCGAGGAGCCCTTACAGCAAGCAGTGAGCTTCCAGCAGTGCAGATAAAACAAACCGTTAAGAAAAGTGAGAAAACAATAACCATCTGCTCTGATTTACTGCGAAATAAAGAACTACCAAATCCTCCCTGCCTTTCCCTGGCTGCAAACCCCTTTCAGCCCCAGCAACACGCGCTTCGAATGAGCAGAACAGCAGACGTACCACGGGACAAGGCTGATCCAGCCCGGGAGGGCCTGGTTCCCCCTTCTGCCCTTTGGCTCCTTTTCTCCCCGGAATTCCTCGCTCACCCTGTTGGCACAACAGGAAAAATATCAGGAGTGGGAA